CCGAGACTCAGACAGAGAGGGAGGTACAGGAGCAGGAATCCGCCTCTGCAGGGACTGGGGAAGGTAGGAGCTCAAGCAATGATTTATTTGACGGAGCTTACCTGGTGAGTGAGGAGTTTCTGCATAAGTTCCACATCCTGTCAATGTTTTTGAACATCCCTGCATCTCTTTGGCATAGATTTCTCCAACCTAATTTTCATGTAGCCAGGCATAGCTGATCGGGAGAGTGAATCTCTGTCCATAGGAATAGAGAAGTTCTCTTTTTCACATCCTTTCAGAGGGCAGAATGAACTCTTCTCCAGATCATTGCGCCTTTGTAGAATCAGTTGTATTGGCATCACTCCTCACAAATCTCCTGAATTCTAACCATCAGTAGGCTACAGACTGCTGAGAATTATTCTTTCTGCCTCTGTCTGTGTTAGAGCTTAGCTTGGTTCTTCAACCTCTGTGTCTAAAACCTGTGCAGGCTTCAGAAGCTCAGCATCTAGATACAAAATAAAATACTGTAAATCACTTCTCACAAAGTAGGTGTGAGTATTCTGTTCAGTCTGATAGATGAAGACGTAATGAGTGGTCTAGCTAGCTCAGGTATTCAGTAATGTCTGTCATGTTTTCCAGTCCGGGAAAACTTACCAACGTGTAAAGAGCTGGAAGCAGATGGTGTGCAATTCCTGTGTGATGAAAGATCACTGATCTTTTGCAAGCATGGTGATTTTGTCCAGGCTTCCTGTCTCTGTGCTGTAGCATTGTGCTTTAATCTGACTCTGAAGGCTTGGCTAGGAAGGAGTTGGGCAGTATAGACTTAAGGAAGGCAGAGAAAATCAGGGAGGCAGTTTTGAATGTGTTGGTTCACGATGAACCCTCTTGGCTTTGGAAAACAGTCCATGACATGCCTACTTGTGCCTGTATGCTTGCTTGTGTGCTGTCATTCTGAAAGTTGCTTTTTGGCATGCCACTTCTCCACAGGTTCTGCTATAGAGCATCCTGCATGTGTCACAAGGCTTTGTGTTTTTCTGATCTCGACTCTTGTATTCAAAGTTAAGTGGCACATTCCTGACCTGTGGGTTTTCCCATCTGCTTATCTCAGCAGAGCTGGGATTAACCTCTCTGGAAGGTTAGTACAGTTGAGGGCATGTGAATAAGGCCGGAACATAGGATGTCTGGACAAGTGCTGAACTTGTGGGAACTGGTTCTTCCACTGAATGTGGTATGCAGACTAAGAACAGGGTACAGCGTGGGACCTTCTTGCATCAAGGCCGTGATGGCTGATGCTGCAGGCTTGGGGGTCTTTCTCTACTCTGTTAAGCCAGTGGAGTTCTCCAGTGCTGCTTCTCTGCTGTTGTTCTGCAATCATCTGAAGGTTTCATTAACTCATTCTTTCTAATTAACCTTTCAATTTTCAGATCTAGATCATGTTTTTTAACCTAGACCATTAATGCGATGGGGAAGGGTTGTCCATCACCATTGCCTTGGGCAAGGTATCCCTACAAAGGAGCAAAACATGCAACGTTTGGAAGAAAAGGCATGTAGATAACGAGCCTTGGACAGAGACTTCTCTTTGTCTTCCTTTCTTGCTTGGAAGAAGATTGATGCCTTCCACATCTGGTGTGATTTCCGACTCAGATGCTGACTTACCACATGTGCCCTTGCAAGTGGCCTCACCTGCAAAACAGACTGTCACACTCCTGTCTCCTATATAAGAATCTTTGGAACAAAGGAGTTATTCCAGTATGAACACATGCACTGAAGATGAGCCAAGCAGTCTTACCCTGGAGCTGATCAGTTCTTAGGCCGGTGGCGTCCTCAGTGTAAATTCCTGTGCAAAGACTAAAGAGCAGCTCAAAACAGGGATCTGTCAAGACATTAACTATTAGGAGCATGTAGGATCCAAAAAACAACTGTAATCCATGACAGGGGAATAGTACAAAGACCTATCATGAAGCAGACAGACAAATTTTCAGCTGCTGTTACCAACACCTCAACCAGTTAGCCATGGACTTGTGGCATCTGTGGTCTTGGTTCATCCAAAAGTCTTCATGGCTCATGTTATACTTGAGCTCCTTTGCGCTACTTGTGGCATTAAGGTTGCTGTTTTTCCAGCTCCATGAACCCTTGTGATGCTTGTCCAGTGTGTTCAGGCAGGCTAGATTAAATGCTGTGCTGCTTTTCTGATGGTTAATTTTCCCAGCGATTCTACCATAACTGCCTGTTGAAAGGGAAACAGTGTTTCCTATAGCAGGATCTAGATGTCAGGGACACCAAGAGGGGAAAGAAGAAAAACGAAAAAAAGAAGAAAAAAATCTGCTACCAGTAACTTGGTGTGTGACCTAGTACAAATTATCATTAACAGTGTTTCCTATAGCAGGATCTAGATGTCAGGGACACCAAGAGGGGAAAGAAGAAAAACAAAAAAAGAAGAAAAAAATCTGCTACCAGTAACTTGGTGTGTGACCTAGTACAAATTATCAGTCATCCACTGAATGGGAATAAATCTTCCCATAGTACAGTACATCAGAGGCTGTGAAGATTAATTAGTGTTTTGTATGGGGCTTTGAAGATGTAAATCGCTACATAAAGGCTTTGCAGATTATCAGCAGCAGAATGAATAAATCAGATGTGATTCTGAGTTAATGTAAAGCAAAGTGGTTTAGTTATCACCTTGTCATGAGTGAAAAAAAAAACAAACCAAACCAAAAACAAACCCTTGAATGTTTCAAAAGAAAAAAAAAAAAAAGAAAAGGAAAGGCTAGTGCTAACCCTACGAGTAGAGTAGGTTTCTGCCCTATGTCCAGTCAACTCTGCTGTTGTGGGGAATTCTGGCTCAGGGCATTTCTTGCAGATATGTGCTTACCATACAAAAAAAAAAAAAAAAGTATGCAGAATTGCATCAGAAATCTAATTAAGCTCTGTGCGGGTATAAATAGTTTCCTTTTCTCATGCAAAGCTCTGCGGGGACTTTGCTGTTCTGATTATCTTTCTACCTCCTTTGGAGGAATGAGTATATGATGACTTTGTTAGAAGTGAATCCCTCTAATGTCTGTATCTTTTTGCTTTGCAGCAGTTGATAGCTGCCTTGTGAACTCTGCTCCCAAGCCGCACATAAACGAAAGGGAGTTGAGAGAAAACTAGGAGAGGCACCGAGAAATGCCTCAAACAGTGTTTCAGCTGTCTCCTGCTTTCTTTTAAGCTGACAGATATAGTGGAAATAGTGATGGAGTTGTAACTTTGAGGCACTCTTAATTGGAAACAATCTGTTGGGAGTTATACTATGCTTTCCCTTGCAAATGGACAGATATGATGGGGGAGAGATCTGTGTTCAAATGGAAAATTAAATCACTTAAAAAATGACAAAAATTCCTAATGAGATTTAATGGCCCAAGGCTTTAACCTTTAGAAATTTTAATTCCCAGCCCAGTCTGGGTCAGGTTGTGCCTGCCACTTGTTCAGGCTGCTGGATCTGTGGAGAAGGGAGCAAGTGGCAGTCACTGTCAGGGACTGCAACTGTGCAAAAACTGCTGCAGGTGGAGGGAAAGGGATGTTTGCAGAGCTGCAGAATGCTTGTTTGATTGTGCACCCATGCCATCCCCTGGCTATTGACAGTGTCTCGATACATCTTTCAGGTAATCCAGTTGTTTAGAAAGAAAAAAATAGCCCACACTCAAAACAAACTTGATGGAAATAACTGAAAGGCAATTGTAATCTCAGTTCCTCTCATCTGCATTGTCTTTAGGGCTTAAAATTCAGATGGCTAGCTCAATGCTCATTGTGCAAGTAGGCACCTGCCATGAACTGCTGAAACCGTAGCCATCGGAAGACTAGCTGTCAGTGGATTGCTGCTTTGCCTGTCTTTGCCAGAGCAACATATTGGCTACTGTCATGCCATATACAGTTTTTAACCTCTTTGGTTGCAGTGTTTCTCACCAGCCAGTACATATTTCCATTCTGTCCAACTGCTTTCAGAGGTTGCAGCAGATACTTTTGAGGAGGAAAAGGAACTGTAAAATGAAGGCTTGGGTTTGTGAGATTCAGTCAGTGAAAAGACAGCACATGCAAGGGAAACTTTCTTGGTATAAGCAAAGCATCCTGCAGATGCCTAAGGACCACTACAAGCAGAGTCAGTGTGCCTGCATGTGATGTAATTTATTTAATCTGAGACATTAGGAATGTGTGTTGGGGGCTGCATGGGCAGGAATACCCTGTTCCCCAGCTGAGCCTTATGAATGCTAAAAACAGACATGTTGGTTTACATTAGCTGAACATGTTCTTGCAATGCTGTTGTCAGACGTGATGTGACTTTTGTGCGATTAATGTGGAAATGCCTGGTGAGGCTGTATCTGGAATATTGTGTCCAGTTCTGGGCCCCTCAGTTCAAGAACAAGGAACTGCTTGAGAGAGTCCAGCGCAGGGCCACAAAGATAAGGGAGTGGAGCATCTCCCTTATGAGGAAAGGCTGAGGGAGCTGGGTCTCTTTAGCTTGGAGAAGAGGAGACTGAGGGGGGACCTCATTAATGTTTATAAATATGTAAAGGGTGACTGTCATAAGGATGGAGCCAAGCTCTTCTCACTGGCATCCAATGATAGGACAAGGGGAAATGGATATAAGCTGGAACATAGGAGGTTCCACTTAAACATGAGGAAGAACTTCTTCCCAGTAAGGGTAACAGAACACTGGAACAGGCTGCCCAGAGAAGTTGTGGGGTCTCCTTCTCTGGAGATGTTCAAAACCCGCCTGGACGCGTTCTTGTGTGATCTGAGCTAGGTGGTCCTGCTCCGGCAGGGGGATTGGACTAGATGATCTTTTGAGGTCCCTTCCCTAACGTTCTGTGATTCTGTGTAATCAGGACACCAGGGATCTGCCCCTTATTCTTCAAGTGGAAACGTAGGGAGATCCCTTAGCCTTTCAGCTGCCTGTCTATCTCTAAAATGTGCATGATATGTCCTATAGAACTGTGAATTTCAGTTTCTCTTGAAAGCTCTCTGAAAAACACTACTTAAAAAATAGAATTGCGTTCTAGAAGCGTGTACTACGTAAGCCTTTACAGTGTGAGCTACTCTAAGTACCTGGCTCTCTTGGGATTAAATTATGGAGGCTACTTTTAAACTGTCATTATGAAAATAAGTTTCACTCATATAAATCACCAAGGTGAGATATTACTAAGAAATTTGTTATAAGTCAAAGCAGTTGTGTCTTTTTTGAGACTGTAGAGTCATTTGGATTAGCTACCTCAGAAGGGAAGTGTGAACATGCTTCTGAGCTTGGTTGGAGAGAAAAGTAACTGGTAGTATTTCTTCTGGCACTAAGGGAGATGTGATTATTCATAGCTGGTTATGCTGTGCTGTGACCCTCCCTTTCCTATTTTTATGCAAGAAGTGAATTCATCTTAAAATGCTGATATTTTTATCTTTGAGCATCTGAATTAGTGGGTCAGCTCACACCTCAGAGCTATTATTCCATGTTCTCTGAAGACTTAGATATCTCTGCCGTGCTTACTCAGTTCTAATTTTGAAGCTTTGTTTGCAAGCATGGCTACTAACTACAGCTGGTTTTAGAAAGAGGAAAGCTGAAAATAGGGAAAAATTGAAGAGCAGTGTCAGTATATCATCACACAGCCACAGAGAAGCCTGATCTCATCCTTGCTTCTGTGGGCTTCGCTCTTTATCAGGTGTGTGTGGTCCATGCCCAGAGATAAACAAGTTGTACTCCTTGTAAGTACTTCAGGGACCACTTCATTTAAGAGTGGAAATGCTCCTGCCTTATGCCCAGCTCCATTGCAAGTTTGCCAGACATTTCACCTTTGTAGTCGTCTGTGTCAAACTCTTGTCTTGCTGGAGTAGCACAGCAGAGGGCTTCTAAAGACAGATGCATCAGCTAGGGAGTATTTTGTTAAATGTTGCAACGAGTCAGTTAGAATGACAGAAATCCCCTGGTCTTTGGGATAATTACTCTCAAGAGTAACATTTTGTGTCTGTGTTTGGGATAGATGGGGTTTTGGACCTCTGGAAAGGTCGCTTTGGTTAGAGTAGAAAAGTTTTGTAGGAACAGTACTGTGGACACAACTGTAATACTTGTATTGTGGAAGGGAACCATGGGTGATGTTTTTCTGTCCTGTCAGCCATGGAACTTGTGTGTCCCTGTCTTAGAAAAGGGTGGAGACTGTGTCTCAAGATCAGTTCCTGCTCTGTGATGGATTCTGACACAGGGTCAGCCCAAGTGGGAGACAAATTGTCAGGTGTTATGCCTTCACTGGTACTTCATACACTGTAGCTGGAGCTCATTAGGTCAGTTTTCTGAATTTTGTCTGTAGTGTTCTGTGAGGTTTTTTCTATTTTCCTGACCCTAGAAGGTACACTTAGAAGAATGAGAGCTTAGGATAAAGGATTTTACATGGCCCAGGAGATCAGAACGTAGTTTTGAGCATAAAATGAGAGAAAAGGAAGTGCCTTCTCCATATGGATAATTAGATGTGTTGTCACTTGGCCTACTCCTCCTGCACAAGCTCACGTTCATGCTCTGTATATGCTAAACCCCTTGGAGTCTGAAAAAGGTGCCACCAATATGGAGTTTCTCCCTGTCCTGGTTTTGTTCAGCTGGTAGAGCAAGGAATGGAGTTTGCACTGCAGCGAGTTGAAACTTCTAGTGACACGAGGTGTGCGATTTATGGCATTGCTGTTGTTTTGGGTAAGTGCCTGTGTGCACACTCTGAACCTCTGCTAAATGGAAGTTAGCTTATTTCACTTACACCGAGTACTAATGTAGTCTGCATTGGCAGCCTGGTGTAAGAACGTGTGTGGGAGTCACCAGGCAGTAGAAATGGGCTGTATGTGAATCTGTGCTGGAGCTCAGCTCAAGGCAAATCGCACAGGAAGCTTTGCTCTGAGCCAGTCAGACAAAGTCATTGTCGAAACCTGAGAGGGAAAAGGGGAGGACAACCCCCAAAGCAGAGGTGCATGTTGGCTGCTTGAATGGTGAGGCTCACTTCTGGCCCTTGATGGGCTGTCTTTCCAGAATTTCCGACACTGCTGTATCTCTGTGCTCATAATCTGAAGGCTCATGACGTGCTGATTTCTGCTGTGGCATCCGCCCTTGCCTGTTTTCTGAGGAAGAAGTTGCCTCAACTGGAAGTTCAGCCGTGCCGCATGGTGATTAAGGAGCAGGGAAGAGCAGGGGGTGCTGTGGTGTGCGCTGCCTGCACGGAGTCCTCTGGTGAAGCACGTGTTTGTAATGCTGAGGAGCACTGGCTGGGGACCCTTACTGATTCGCTGTTCCAGTGCTCCTGTAAATGATCTGTCAAGAGCAGAGTACCTGCTGTTTCAGGACTGGTGTGGAGAGGGCTGGCTGGCATGCTTCTAAGCCAGGTTGCATGTCTTGGCTTTCTCAGGCTTCCTCTCTGGCCTGGCCAGATGGTTGGTAATGAAGTACTTACGACTATGTCCTCAGAAAGATGCGATGACTGAATCCAAAACCATGCTTCTCAAACCTTCCCCTTACTTCCGCTCATGATTAATGCTTCAATATCCCCTGGCATGCATGTTTTTCATGCAGAAGTTTCAGATATAATAGCTGCCTCTGTCCTCAGTCTTTGTGCTGGTCAGCCAGGTTCCTAGTTCATGCACCAACCACAGCCTAGTTCATGCATCAAACGCATCCTGAACAGGATCCTAGAGTTGTGGGTGAGGCTCTACCCAGGGGATATTCTTGCTCACTCCTCTAGGCTCTGCTCCAGATTTTCATGTGGTTACTGGTGTCTCTGTGGTCTCACTGATGCTCTAACCAAGGAGCTATGTAATTGCTGTATGTATAGTGGATATAGCAGGCTTACTACATTCCTAGCAGAAAGGGACTTACTCTGCTTATGAGAATTAAATTTGCTCTTGATGTCCATAGTATGTCTACAGCAGGGCAGAATGTCAGCAGACTTGCTTGAAGATGGAATTAGCTGTACTCTGTGGTGGAGGAAGCTGGTGGTGTTTGATGCGAGTATCACTGAGCCTACGAGGAAAGGGAATAAGCTGTCACTAACTGACTGCATAACATGTAAACAGCTTTAACTGTCTTCAGTTTTTTTTAAATAACCTCTACAGTGGCATGGTGTAGGCTGAATACCCCAGCTCCCATGTCGGATACATGAACTCCACTCCACAGCCCCAAGCGGTTTTGTCTTCCTAGTCAGTGTGACAGTTTGGTTTTTATTGTGTTTTAACTCCTGCCTACATCTAGCCTTGTTGACATTTGTGTTCATTTCCTTGGTGCCAAGAGAGCTCATGGCTTTCTCCTCTCCTCTAATCAGCACTGCAATAGCTTCATGGAGCTGGGGATGAGATTTATCTCTTTAATAAGAATCATCGGGATCCCACTATGGAATGATTCTAGCAGTTTATGATTACAGATTGTTTTCCCCAAATGGTCTGGGTAAGGTTTGTAGTGAAAGGAGGATGCTGGGAAACAGAACTGGGCTGGACCTTCCGACCATGGGGATTTAATCTCCTACGTGGACTATTTTTCTGTGAGATTCTGTTCTTCAAAAGTAATCTTCAGCAACCAAGGCATCTCATGATGGTTCCCTTGGAGCTCAGTACAGCCCGACTATGACGGGAAGGCTCAGAGACAGAGTAGACAAAGACTCTGGATCTTAAGAGATGTTCTTTGTGTTCCTCAAAAGATAGCAGTCAAGGGGCGCAGGAGCCTACATGCTCGATCTTTCCTTGATCATAGGTGATGTGGAAGCACAGATCGTATTCTGTAGCTGCTGTCTGCTCTTGGCCAGCTGCCCATGTCCTCCCTGATATTGGGGAGATTGCCATCATGTTCTCTGCCTGAGGTGTTCTCAAACAGTTGAAGTAGGAAAGGCCACAGGACTCTCTAACACCATGGTGAAATGTTTGGTTTACTGTAGTGCAAACTGAGGTTTTTCTTCCCGCCCCTGTGGGACTGGCTGGAGCTGTCTCTGGAGCTGTCTCTGGAGCTGTAAGAAAACACACTGCCTCTTTGTCTGCTCTCTTTTCCTCACCTGAATGGCTAGATAAGAGCTGCTTCTCCAAGGCTTGGACATCCAAGTCTGCGAAGGGATACTTGTGGGAGCAGCCAAGGTTTTCTTGATAGATATCAGTGCCTTTGTTTGGCAATTCACTGAAAGTTACAGAAATAAAATGCTGGGCTCCCTCTGAAATAAAACCCATCTTCTGTCCCAGCACATGTACGCTGTGTGATACATCTACCCAACATGCTTTCTCTTTGTATTGTAGTTTGCCTTGTGCACCAAAGTTGCTTCTGCTTTCTCTTACAGGTGAAGGTCCAGAATATGGGGCCGGTGGAGAGGATGCCCTGAGTAGGATCCAAAGGCTGATGGCAGAAGGTGGCATGACTGCTGTGGTCCAGCGGGAGCAGAGCACCACCATGGCGTCCATGGGCGGCTTTGGCAACAACATCATTGTGAGCCACCGGATCCACCGCAGCTCTCAGACAGGTGCAGAGTCCACCGGAGCTGAGGGCGCATCAGCACAGCAGTCCACCTCGCAGCAGCTGGCAGCTGAGCTGGAGGGACGGATCCTTTCGGAGTCTATGCAGCTGTCAGAGCACGGTCTGAGCCCGCGGACAGGCCCTAGCGGGAGCGAAGGACAAAGCGCTGGTGATCTGGACCTGCCAGAGCAGGCCCAGTCCTCCATGGACACTGAGGGACCAATTGAATACAGTGACCTAACTAATAATAACCATCTTCCTGACAGTACCAACTTCTATAGTAATGACAGCACCAGTGGGGAGTCGCGGAACAGGTAGAGATGAGTTGTGTGTTGGTGCTACCCTTGTACTGCTCAGCAGAGACCTGTACCTCACAGCTGGCCAGGAGCTGGAAGAGTAGAGACGGGTGGCTCTGACGGGATGCTGGTGGTTTAGAGGGCTTCTCTGTTGTGGGTGAGTGGGAAGGGATAAGAACTTCAAGGGAAGCCATGGGGAAGAAAGCGTACTTAACTTCTCACATTCCCGCTGCTGAAGAGTTAACAGGAATATGAACCATACTGGCTGCACCTCATGCAGATTTTGAAGCCCCATGGGATCCCTTGAGCTCAGCCTTAAGCCTGCAATTCGGTCAGTGTCATCCTTTGTAGAGCTTCTTTCCTTTCCTCTTTCCTGCCCTTTTATGCCCAGGGGCTAATCAGTAGAGCGAAAAAGGGAAAGGGGCTTGCAGCATCCTTCTGGAGACAGGCAGTCCTACCAGGCGAACCTGGGCGTGATGCTCCGGCTCTTGCTGGAGTGGAGGAGTCTTCCAGTCCACAGTCCTGCTCCATGGCACAGCGCTGCTCGCTCACCCTCAGAGCATGGTGTTCTGGGACCTGTCCTGCCTGCACTATGATCTTTTCTGGGAAGAGCTGGGCTTTGCCAAAACCTGCATGGCACAGAATCTGCTCAGAGGTGGGGATCTTTCCTTTTTAGAGAGTTAGTTTAGTACTTGGCAGGAACCTAAGCAGAGCTGCTCTATAGATGGGTAGAGGGACAGGGGCTACTGCTCTCTAGTCAGGATGCAGTTCACACAAGGATGTTCTAAGCCATGCCAATATTAATGTGAATGAGCCATCCCAGTGATTTCATGGTGCCAGGACTGAGCTGCACCTCCTTGGCAGGGGGCAGGAAATGTCTTTCAGCTCCAGGTCAGGGTGTGAGGTATGGGTCTGTGATGTAAGGTGTTGCATGTGAAATCTTGACCTTGTACATGTAGTTTCTAGTGGAGAAATCAGGCTCTGATATTTTGGTTTTAGTCTCAAATGTGATTTTCCTTTTCGTTTGTAACTCTCCATCCCTAGCAGGCTTGTGGAGGAAGGACAGGGACAGCGTGAGTGCTAACGAGGGAAACACCAAAGATCAATGTCATTAAAATATGACAAACCCTTGCTTGACCTACTGTCTTCATTTGTGTGATAGTTGTCTCTGCGTTCAGCCTTGGGATGGGTACATGCAGCTCAGAAGCTCAAGGTAGCTTACAAATGTCAGATGATGACCACCCGCTTCCCAGGAGGAAAGCAGGCTCAGCCTTTGAGGTGGAAGCCCAAAACTGGGAAACAGGGAGGAGCATTTGGGAGTCTTGATTGCAAATCGCCTTTTAACCAGTCTGGAGATGAGCAGGCACTTCTGCATTTCCCATCATTCAAGTTCCCATCATTCAGTAGGGAGAAAGAAGAGCATTTCCCTTACCTCACTTAAAAAGGTATGTAGAGATGCAGCACTGTGTGTCTTGGGCAAGCAGAGAGTGGTCTGTCTTGCTGACCTCTCAAAGCAGAAAAGGGCTTCGGTGTCTGGCTGTTTCGGATAAAGGAATGCGTGCGCCAGTGTTACCACGCTGTGGTGAGGGATGCTTCCCCTGCTGTCTGAACACCTGCCGGCAGCTGCTGCGCTCCTGCCCGGCTCCTCTAGACTCTGCACTGCAAAGACATTACAATAAATAAGGCTGTCATTAGGCAGCACTCGAGCTCCTACTCAGAAGAGTCTGTTAGAGAACATTAAGCAAATCTCCTCTTAAATCACAGCCTGGAAATGAACCTTAAATCAAATCAGCTGCTGCCAGGCCTCATTGCAGAGTGTTAATGAGGCTCCCAAACCTGCCCTGAGCCAACCGCATCTCTGATCTGACAGGAGAGCAGCCTGAAAAACGGGATTCCCTTGTGTGGTGAGGAAGGTTTCATGCATCCCTGTATTGCTTCAGTGTGGGGTGGCCTGAGGATGTGCTGGCACTTGGGAGCTGGAGGAGCTATGTCTCAGCCGAAGACTTGGGCAGACGGGGCGGTGCAGGTCTAGGCAGAGCTGTTTACTGCTCTGCTTGAAAACAAACTAAAACAGAGCCTGGAAAACAACTGCTTCAGCTCAGCCTGGCATCTCCTTGTCCCTCTCCCCGCACAATTCCTGGAAGAGTCTTGAGGCCCATTCTTGGTAGCTGTGCTGCAGAGCATTTACAGATGTCTATTTCCATAGCCAGAGCCAAGCTACCTACAGAACAATTTCCATCACGGTTGGAGAAGGGTCTTATGGGGTGCCTCACTGTAGCACTGGCAGATTCTCGAAGGCCTGGCGTGCACCATTTGTGGGCACTCTGGCCAGGTTGCTGTGCAGAGGCATGAAGCTGGCTCTGCTGAGGACCTCCACTTGGTGCAGACCTACCCCCACTGGAGATGGAGGCAAAGCAGGCGGTGAGCTCCAGTGGAAGCAGGAGCAAACCATAGCTGCTGTCTTTGACATCGGCTCAGTATGTCTCTGAAGCTCCAAAGCAGCTTTTCATTCGAGGTTTGTACGGGAAACTCTTCCAGATGAAGTAAGGATGAAGGCCTGATCAGAGCAGGCAGCTTTGATTCTCCTAACCCGCTTTGTAGCTCTGGCCAAAGGCTGATAACACGGGCTTTTAGCAGGAACAGTGGGCAGGGAGGGATGTGAGTGGGTTTAATCTTCAGATGCTGCCTTGGACATGCTTTGTAGATGACCTGCTGTGGCCACACAACTAAGCAGGTGCTCTCAGTGGTGGTAGGCTTGTATGTACAGAGAGCAATGCCTTTTTTTTGAGTTTCAGACCTGGAATCTGCCAAGCTCAGTTTCCGTCCCCGCCTTAGACCTGGTGAAGGGACATGGGTGAGTGGGAAGAGGGGGGACAGGGGGGAAAATTGAGCACTTATGCCGTGGGCTCACTCCTTTCGCATCTTACGCAATTTATTTCTTATGCTTTCCATACTTCTTGTGGGACAAAACTCTCTGCCTTGGACTGTGCTGTTCTGGCCCAGCAGTCTTCCTTGGTTGGTTTGGGCAGAGCTGAGCTGACCTGTACGCTCAGGCAACACCCCCGAATCTGAACGATGACCTGAGGCCTGGAGCCCTGCGCAGAACAGGAGGTGGTGGGATTGCCCATGTCCAGGACAAGCACAGCAATGGCACGGGGCTCCTTCCCCAGACCTCGCAGCTTACTTGCTCACTGCAGTGTGACAACGCAGCACTGAATCAAACACCCTGCCAGGGGCAACGTGAAAGTTCAACAAGAGCTGCCTCAGGAAACCAAACCAGAGCTATGTGTGCTTGCTGGCCCAATTTAGGAGGCAAAATGAGAGCTTTACTGCTTAGGAGCAGGAAATAATCTTAAAAACCAAAAGCTTTTCTGAGCCTTAGCCTGTCAGGAGCCTTTAAATGTGCTAACAAAATCCTGGGGAAAGGAGAAATACGGTGCAGAGAATTTTATTTAGCTTTCAAAAGGCTTTTGATAAAGTCCCTCACAAGAGGCTATTAAAGAAACTTAGTCACCTCCAGGGTGAGGGGTAGAGTCCTCTCGGAGGTGGCAGCTGTTTGAGGTGGGAATTAGAGTCAAAAGTAACAGCCAATTCTTGGTGTGGAAAGAGGTTAATGGTGGGTTGGTCTGGTTTGGTAGGAGCCAGTGTTCTCTGTAAAAGCCCTAATGAGCTCGAAGAGGAGGGGAACAGCTGAAGATACAAGATTATTTGGGTTAGCCAGGAAGAGAGAAGGTGCCAGAAGCCTGAGGCAGCAAGAGGAGGTTATGGTTGGAGCTGCTGCTCTGGAAGGGGCTGTTGTATGAATCCTTTGCAGCGCTAACCTGCATGGGTGCTGCTGCAGCCTATGAATGCTCCAGCACCCCTGCACCTGGGACCACACCAGCTGGCAGCAGTGCCTGGAGGGGAGACCTGGGATCCCATGGGGGGTTGCCAAAGCCCTGACAGGTGGTACAGCAAAGTGTTGAGACCTGCTTGTCCCTATGAGTCCTGTTTTCTCTCCTTTGCTGGCCTGTTGCTCCATCACCAGCACCTCTGTTTGACTCCATCTGGAAGTCCCACGCCGTATTCATGTGTGGCTGGTGCGAGGTGTCCATGGGATGACCCTATAACTGGGTGGTGCTGGGACCCCAGCTCTATATGATGGCCAGGAGCTGTGCAGGGCAGGAAGGAGAGGGCAAGGACCAGGTCACAGTTGAGTGCCCAGGGAGTCTCTCTCTCCTGGCATTACCAATGCCGAAGCTGATCCCCATCGCCAGCCCCTCCGCCCTGGCTCGGGCTGCTGGCTGGGGAGCAGCTGCCCTCCCTGCTCGGTCCCAATCTGTCAGAGAAGCTGTTCTCTGACAGGAAAAGGCAAATTAATTAAAGCGTGCAGCATGCGAGCCATCCGCCTTTAATTGGGATCTTGGGGTGCAGCACGTAAATGTCACGCCGCTGCCGCCTCTGCGTGGAGAGGGCCCTGGGCGCACAAAGGGGCTGGAGGGGCACGGCGGGCTTTCCTTTGCAGGCGCCAACCCCCGTCAGCCAA